CGAGCAATGACGTCATCAGGCCGTGGCCGAGCTGGGGGGTTTTCTCTTCCATGGGAAAATTGAGCAAAATTCCATTTTTCTCCGTTTTCCTTCGTTTTTCATCGTTTTTGCTCAAATTTTCGTGGTAATTAATTGAAAAAAAAAATCAATTTTATAATTTTTGCAATGTTTTATGGCCTGTACGAACAATTTTTGAAAAGAAATAGTTCATTTTGGGCCAATTTTTTGATTTTTAATTTTTGTGTGTAAATACCTAAATAGTGATTGTTTTTTTTTCATGCAATGATCTAGAAAATTATGAAAAAAATGAGAAAAATTCCAATTACCACGAAAATTGAGAAAAAGAGAAAAATTGAGGAAAATTGGGAGGAAAAAAACGAAGGAATATTGAGAAACAGAAGGAATGAGGCCGAATTGAGAAAAAAAAGCGATTGAGAAAAATTGATAGAATATTTCACAGCATACTTGCAACGGGCCGGGCCGGGCTTTTTTCAGAATTTTCAGGGCCCGGCCCTGCCCGTCTCTTTTCAGAAGAAAATTTTCCTGTCTTTTCAAAAAATTTTTTGGGGTCCATAGAAAAAAATGGAGAACCTTTCGGTCAAAAAATTTTTCTAAATAAGAGTGTCCATAAAACATGATTTTTTCAAAAAAAATTTCGAAAAAATGACTGAGATTCCAAAAAAAATTCAAATTTGGAGAACCCGGGCCCTGGCCGGGCCGGGCCAAGGAGTCACGGGCCCAGGCCGGGCCCTGATTTTGCAAGTATGTTTTACAGTTCTCCATTGTATGCTTTCCGGAAATTTCGAGACTTAAAAATTAAAAAAAAAATTTCCTGCCTTTCAGCCGATGCCCAACATTTTTTTTTTTTTCATGAAGAGTGAAAAATATGATAAAAAATCAGAAAGGACAATGTGACAATGAGAAGTGAAAAACTTTTGTCGTAATTTTTGGAAATTCAGAAATTGCGAAATACTGAGATTCTGACGTTCTGAAACTTTGAGATTTTGAAGTTCTGAAATTCGGAAATTCTCAGATTCTCAGATTCTGAAGATCCGAAATTTCCAGATTCCGAAATATTGAAATTCTGGAGTTCTGAAATTCTGAAATTCTCAGATTCTGAAGTTCTGAAATTCTCAAATTCTCAGATTTTGAAGTTCCGAAATTTTCAGATTCCGAAATACTGGAATTCCAAAGTTCTGAAATTCTAAGAATTCTGAGATTTTCAAGCTCTGAAATTCAGGAATTCAGAAACTCCCTCAAAAAAATTGTACCCCCGAATCACAAGCGTTGTACCCCTAAATGAAATGGGTTGTACCCCAGAATCATTGATAGTTTGTACCCCCGAATCGTTGTACCCCCGCAATTTTTGTATCCACGAATATTGTACCCCCGAATCACCAATTTTGTACCCCTAAATCAGTTGTACCCCCTTGTACCCCCGAATCATTGTACCCCCCGAATTTTACGACGAGCTACCCTATAAGTCTTTCATATTTCCTTTTTTTCAAAACCTTTTTTTGACTCTTACAATTAGAATTATTGTTTAATTTCGAAATTCTTTCACTTTATGCAATTCTCCGAAATTTTAAAATGTTGAATTCGAAAATTCAAAAAACCAAAACTTCACTTTCAAGTTTCCAAAAATTTTCGTAGTTTTGCGACCAGGAAGTTCATAGACGAAACGCTTGAAACCAGATGACTAGTACAGACTGTCTGGCAATAGAAATAAATCAGAAGATCAAAATTTTTTGAAATGGTTCTGAAAATGTCATCAGAATTCAATTTCGTAAAAAAATTCGTTAAATTAATTTTTATCGAATTACCGTATTTCCTCTAATAGAGGCCCATGAGCTTTTATTTTTCAACCTCCTTCTGGAGGTGGACTAATTTTAGAAAAAAAACGCTCAAATTATAGGGTTTTCGGTTTTTAACTGTACTCAATTGGGAGGTTCTTGCGACGGACCATTCCACTGGAATGGACTGGAATAGTTATGAAACGGCAAGAACTAACGGGAATTAACAGAAAAATAAACAAAAAAGGGTTTGCCTGCACTAAACGAAAAGAAAGATGCACAGTCAGGGTGGGCTTCTATTAGAGGTGGTCTTCAAATAGAGGTGGGCTTCTATTAGAGGAAATACAGTAAGTCAAATTTTTTAGAAATCAAACTTTCTGGATATTTATAATTTTTTAAAACTTCCTTTCTTCTAGTTGGTTTTAAAATTTTAAAATATTTCGAATTTACTCGAACTTATGAACGTCTGAAATTTTTAAGTTTTTGAATCTCTGAATCTCCGAATTCTGAATATTTTGAATGTTTTGAAGTTTTAAATAACACACAGCAAAGTTTTTAGTTTCAAATTTCCCGGGATTTCCGATGTTCAATTTTTTCATTTTAAAGGTGGGGGGGACAAAAGATTCTACGTGGATTTTTGGAGCCAGAGTATGCATTCTACCGTAATGGTGCACAACGCTTAATGTCACTCTGCGTACAGCTGTCGTCTTCACCCTTATGTTTACCACCGGGCGCCTGCTCCAGTTTCGTCCGGGTGGCTCAGTCGGTAACGGCGCCGCACTTTCAATCCTTGCCTCGACGAGTTCAACACCTCGAGGGGCATATCTAAACGGAATTTTGAGAAAATTATTTTTTTCATGTCCTTCCACCTTTAACATTTAACTTATGCACGTAAAAATGTTCCAAGTTTTGCCTACAAAATTCAAAAACTTTATAAAAAAATGTATGCAAAATTATTATATAAAATGACAGATTACAAAAGATTATGTAAACATTTTTTTCGGTACAAAATTGATATTTTTGTTTTTTTTCAAAAAATTGTTCCCTGTTTGAAAATGAAAATTTTTCTTTTTAAAAATATTCAAAATTTGTAAAAAATTTTTTGAAATCTTGCAATATTAATTTTAAAAAACTTAAACCCAATTTTTTTCCCAAATTTCAAAAATAATTTATTCCAAAAAATGGAGGGAAAGAGGAGGATCAAAATGGTCGTTTGAAACGGATTAAAATCGAATAAAAATGCCCTTTTCCGAACAGTCAACACTGTTTTTTGTTGCCGTTTTCTTTAACATCATGTACAAAAAAATTCTGTATCTTTTTTTGGCTGAAAATTAAGGCTGTGCAAAACGCAGCCGCGGCCGAGGCCGTGGATTGGTTGCCGAGGACCAATCCGGCCGTCCTTTCGAAACTAAGCTCAGCTACCCAGAAATTACTAGAGCCGCCGTGCTCTACCTATCTCAGAAGTACACTTTTCAGAATGCAGCGTCCGGTCGTGGCACAGCCTTGGTGCATCCCTGAAAGTTGAAATTTGTAGAATTCCTATTTTTTTGTGTAATATTTCAATATTTGATTTTTTTCAAAGACTTTACAAAAAAGGATAATTGATTTTTGATCAAAGGAAATTTTTTTTAACTCTCTGATTTCTCTCAATCTCTAATTCACAAGTTTTTAATCACATGTCTGTCATGCTGGTTGAGGGGTTCAATAAGTCCAATTTTCGATTTTTTTTTTGTTTTTGAATTTTTTTCATTTTTGTAGCCAATTGTCTAGACCGGGACAATCTTTGAACATATTTTGAAATTTAAAAAATGTTTTTAAAAAATTAATTTACAGATAAATTAATCCTGAGGGGCAACACATGGAAATCTAGGAATTATTGGAGGACGTTTGTTTTTGGGAACAAAAAACTGTAAAAAATTGAATTCATAATTATGGAAAATTATTATAGGTAGTTTGGAAATGGCCGAATGTTTTTCTTTTAAAACTATGGATTTTTTCAAAAATTCCAAACTTTCGGAAGTACAGGAATTGTTGATTTTTTTTTCAAAACTTCCTAGGTCCAGGATTCTGAAAATTCCGAATTTTCAGATCTTTTTCGAAATTCCAGAGTTTTCCAAAATTTAGGAGTTCGTATTTTTTTTTAATATTAAGGATTCTTCAAACTTCAGAATTACTCAAAGTTCCAGAATTTTCTAAAATTCTGAATTTCTACTTTCTCGTTTTTTTTTAAATTTCGGATTTTCGGAATTTTGGAATTTTTGAATGTTTGAATTTCTGAATTTCTGATTTTTCGAATTTCAGATTTTCTGATTTTCTGAGTTTCTGAATTTCCAAATTACCTAGATTTTTTCAGGTTTCTCATACTGATCATTGGATTTTTATGTCTTTCATCTTTATGCTCAAATTATTTAATTATTAATTTCACATTTATTTGTATGAAAAATGATTTATCAGATGGTTATACCAATCTCAATGGGGTAAGAATTTTAGATTTTGAATTTTCACACATTCCGAAAAATGGTTTCAGAGTTTCCATGGAATTTATGACTACGACTCCAATGAAAAAGCCTATATTTTATGGTCCGTAGCAATTGGAACGTTTTTGGGAACATTTCCGCTACACTTTTTGTACACAAAGTTTGGCGCAAAGTAAGTTTTTTTCTTTGAAAACTATAAAAACTCAAGAAAACAAACTGGTTGAAGTTCCGAATTCTGAGGGCTATCAAAATCGTACTTGCGGACGGGCCCAAAGCGGGTGGCGGGCCCTGTCATAGTTTCTTTTAGGATTGATATTTTTTGACCAACTAAATTAGATATGGTAGAACTCGAGGAGCACTACAAAATGATAGTATTTGAAGCACTGTATCATATTTGTGAACAAAGTTACAAGCCAAAAAGCTGCAAATGCGGGCTTGGCCGGGCCGGTTTTTTCGGCCCGTTTGGTCTGTAACTTTGTTCACAAACATGATACAGTGTCCCAAATAGTATCATTTTCTAGTGCTCGTCGAGTTCTATAATATTTAATTTAGTTAGTCGAAAAATATTGATCCTAAAAGAAACTATGACATGGCCCGCCACGGCCCGCTTTGGGCCCGTCCGCAAAATATGATCAAAATTCTAAAAATTTGAAAAAAAAATTCAAATTTTCAGAATACCGTTCTTTATCTGTGGACTTGTCTCGTGTTGTACAACTGCTTTGATTCCATTTTCTGCAAAAACGAATTATTATTTTTTGATATTGCTCAGGTTTATACAGGTGAGTGTGGAGATTAATTTCTAGAACTACGAAATTCAATTTTCAGGGATTCGCCTATTCTGCTGATTTTGCTGCCATCGGACTAATCAACGGACGATGGGCTCCAGTATCAGAAGTCACCATTTTCATGTCCATTTTAACATGTTTCAATGGAATTGCTTCAACGATTACAAATGTTGGAACTGGTCTTCTCTGTGAAAGTTCTCTCGGTTGGAAATGGTCTTACTATCTTCATTCGATTTTTGGATTTGTTCTTTTTGGATTATGGTACTTGGTATATATTGATTATCCTGAAGATACACAACGAGTTTCGGATTTGGAGTTGAAAAAAATTCAGAAGGATAAGTCGGAGGCTCATTTGAGCAAAAAGTGTGATGTCCCTTATAAAGTGGGTTTTTTTGCAAAAATTTGAAAGCTTCTTTTTTTGAATTTCCGCCAAAGATGATTTTTTCAGATCACAATATCAAAAACATTTCCAGAAAATTTTAATTAAATTCCGGAATTCTGAAACTCTGAAATTCTGAAATGCTGAGATTTTAAGATTCTGAAATACTGAATTAAAAAAATCAAAAACTGAGGATTGAGAAATTCAAAAAAGCTGGAACTCACAATCAGATAATCAGATAATCGGAAGTTCGGAAAGTTCCGGAATTCTGAAAATTCTGGAATTCCGAGAATCTGAGATTCTGAAGTTCTGAGGTCCTGAGATTTTGAGATTCTGATTTTCTGAGATTCTGAGATTCTGAGATTATGAGATTCTGAGATCCTGCGATTCTGAGATTCTGCGATTCAGCAAATCTGCGATTCTGAGATTCTCAGATTCGGGAATTCGGAGGTTCTGAGATTCTAAGATTCTGAGATTCTGAACTTTGGAAATGCGGAATTCCGGAAATTTTTACCGATTCGTTTACCAAATCGGATATTCGGAATTCTAATTTCTCATAATTTTTCCAGAAACTTCTAATCAGTCCTGTAATCCTTTGTGTCTGGTTAAATGCATTTTTCGATTTAACAGCTGCAATTATGTTCTCCACTTATGTACCAATTTATTTACACGAAGTCCTGAAATTCGAAATAAAGACCACCGGATTTTTATCATCTTTAATTCTGGGAATGTCCATTCCAGTTCGGATATTTTTTGCAATTATCAGTGATAAGGTTAAGTGAGTTTTTTTTACTTCGAAAAATTAAAATTTTAAAAATTCAAAAAAATTAAAGCCGTAAAAATTCGAAAATTGAACTTCCTGAAACATTTTTTTATTCCAGATTAATAAGTGAAATGCTGAAAATCCACATTTTCAACACAGTCTCTGTTGGAGTCTCGGGAATATTTTTCACGTCTATTGGGTAATTTTTTTTTTTTCAATTCGAATTTTTTTCTGAATTTTTTCTGAAATTTCAGATTCATACCAATTGAGTACAGTGGATGGTCGGTTTTCTGTTTTGTCATGTGTATGTGTTGTATTGGAGTGAATTCTGGTGGATTTTATAAATCTGCATATTATCATTCGAGGTGAGAATCTCGAAATTCAGAAATTCAAAAATTCGGAATTGTTTTCTTGATTTTCAGAATTTTGGAATTTCATAAATCCAGAAATTCTGAAATTTAGAAAATTTAAAAGAAAAGAAGCCTCCAGGAATTTTCAAAATAACAATATCATTATTTTCTCAATTTCGCCGAATTTTGAAATTTTCTTAAAATGTATATCTGAAAAAACTACTAGGCATTCTGAAACTTTGAAATCTGAAAAATCTGAAAATCCTAATTTTGCGCAACTCAAATTTTGAAAATTTGCCAATAAAAAAAATTTTCAGACAATTCAACCCAATTGTGATTACTGCGATTCAGTGGATAAAATGTTTGGCATTATTCGTTGCTCCGGCTCTTGTTAATATTTTTGTATCCGACGAATCAAATCGTTCTCAATGGACTTGGGTTTTTGCAATTATCGGCGGGTGTATGGTTCTAGTATGTTTAAAGAAAACCTGAATAAAACTAAAAATTTGTTTTTCAGACAAATTTGATCTCATTCTTCATTTTGACGGATAAGTCTGCGGAATGGACAGAACAAACGGAGAAATTTTGAAATCAATGTTTTATGTTTAAGACTTTATGAACTTTTGTAGAATCTTAGAGCCGCTTTTTGTGAATTTATTGAATAAAAGTTTTCAGAAATGTAATAGTTAAGGAAAAATCTTAAATTTGAGAATAAGGTGTCGCGAATTTAGGGGTCCAACCCAAGGATGTAAGAATATGCCAGAAAGGAGATGCCAGATCTGTGATAGAGCACATCACACCACCATACATGACGCAGTGACAAAGGCATATGAGCGAAGAATCCAGAGAAGAGATCAAGAAAGAGGAATGTCCTTGGATAGTGGAAATTTTCCACCTGGAAGCCATGGGTTTCGAATCCAAAATGAATCAGGAAAGGCAACTTCTAGAGGAAGTCAGCCGAGTGGAACTCATTAGAGTCCCGCTCACCAAAAATACACCTCCGAGAGGAGCAAAAAGACCAGCAATAAATGTTGGCAAAAAAGAAGATAAAGTTAAAATGAAGTATAAAAGTAAAGAAACATATCATTCTTATAATAAATCATTCTTATAATAAATAAATGAAGTTGCGTCTCTTTGTTTCTCTCTCTCTGTCAGTTTGTCCGCCAATTTTGAAAAGCTTGAAAATTAAATATAATTTGACGTGACCTTTTGAGAAAGAGAAGGAGCGAAGCGACGAACAAAATAAATAATGGGTCAACTCGCGCCGAAGGCGCACCAGCCAGCTGTTTGAAGCGCCGGAGGCGCGGCAAACATGCTGGTAAATACAAAGAATTAATCAAAGATACATAGCTAAGGGAAAACAAAGCTTCCTATGAAATTAGAGATTCTGGAATTCAAGAAAGATGAGAACAAAGGAAAGTATGATTCATCTACTGAGATATTGTCAGAGGAGATGACAATGAGTCAGAGAAAAGAAGAAAAGTTTATTTTTACTGTCTGAACTAGTCTCAACAGACTCTTCTTGGTTCCTCATACTTTTCTTCAAACTATTCCTTCCAAACAACTGATATTTACTTCACTATTGAATTGCTACTTATCTCTGGCTTTGCTCAAAGCTCTGAGCATCCTTGATACACCTGCGAGCTGATTATGTGATCTTTTCCCAAGTTTTGGGAACAACTTTTCTGAAGTTTTTGACAGATTATTGATTCTCAGCGATGTGATCATTTTCTTCTTTTCAATCTCGTAATTACAGCACTTTTTCTGTCAACGAGTTTGTATATGAAAATCGTCGTCTAATTATGAAATTTTCAACTTTTCAGAAACATTCATTCCTCGTCAAAAATACCGAAAACTGGGCAAACTTTTCTAATCGTTATTTTGTGTTCGCGAGTTTTTACATTACTGTGTTAATAGGTTTGGGGATTACTGTAACGAGGCTCGCGTTTAAAAAATTGAAAGGTACGGTATCTGCGGATCAAGGGATCTCGAGAAAACTGACAAAAATCGCATTGACCAATGGATTTGTGTACTCTGGAATTATGGTTTATACGCTGGCAAATATTTTGGGACCACGAATTCCATTCTTGCCTACTGTTCTTCTGGAATATGCTGCAAATATGCTGACAACGGCTTCAGATTTGGAGAGGAGGAAGATCTCAGAAATGGAAATTCCGGAAAATCAGAAGATTTTTTCATGTTTACAGAAATTCTAGGAAATCAGAAATTTAGAATGTTCAGAAATTCAGAAGTTCAGAATTTTCTAAAAATTCAAAATTCTCAAATTTTATCTTTAAATTTCTTAAATTTTCAGATGACCCTATCCCTTCCATATATCCTTTAATTTTCGACACTAACATCAGACGAGATATGCGTCTAACTCGAGAAATCCCCAGCGTTAATCTAACCGGACCAGCTGTTTCTTAAAATATTATCATCTTGAATTATTTTTCAAAATTCCATTTTTAATCAATTCCAAGAACTTAGTAGCTCTTTCTCTATTTATTTTTCTATGATTCACATATATCTTTTTGCCAATAAAATTCAGATTGAAACAATCCAAATGTCCTGAAAATCTTCTTTCAACCTGTGCGAAAAATTTAAATTCAAAAAAAAATACTACAAAAATTTTTTTTTTTAATAATCAATGAATCACTTCAATCTAAAATCAGTTCCACGTCATCGATTATAAGAGTCTTACTTAGAAAAGTCTGAAAAAGCTTAGGACAGCATTGTTCCAAACTCCACTTTTTTCTTATCAGCGTTTTTTTCTTAAAATCATTCAGCTTATCAACGCCCAATTACATCATTTTCCTTCTATTTATACAAGGGGTGTTGTAAAATTTTTTACAGTCTGCATTTTCTCAAAATGAATAATCTCCTATCTTTTGCTCTTATTTCCGGAGTTTTCGGCCAACAATTAATAAGTCTGAGCCATTTGAAAGGAGCAAATGTTCCGAATTTTTTGAAAAATGAAAATGTGGTTTCTCTGTATGTTTCTGCAAGTTTCGATGATGACGATGTGCTGGCAAATGTGATGGTGGTGTCTGGAAAGGATAAAGTTTCGTAAGCCAATTTTTGAAATTTTGAAAAAAATGTTTTAAAAAATGTTTCAGCCTTCAAGATCTGAAATACAGAACAATGGAAACCCCAGTAAATTCTGAAATTCAACGACCGTACCCAATTCAACCAAATTCCTATATTACATCGAATTTGGCGGATTTTCAATTGGCAAATTTGAAAGGAGTACTGTACTACAATACAGCTAAACAGTTTCAAAATGGTAGGTTTTTGAAAAATCTCTAAAAATGTTTTAGAAGATTAATATTCAAAAATACGGAAGTTTTCCGTAATATTCAAAAAACATGAATTACTGAATTTTCAGGAAACTGGGAATTCGTTTTTAATATTAATGATTTAGAAAATGCTAAATTCGAAATTTTCTGAAATTCAGAAACTCGGATCTTCAAAAAATTGGAATTTCGGAATTTTTTAAATCCACGATTCCAGAAATCCAGAAATTTTTTGACTTTTTTCCAGAGTTTTGAAAGTTTTATTTCAAAAGTTTTATTTCAGAAAGTTCGTAAATTTTGAAAATTTTGAAAAATTCGAAAATTCAGGAACCACGAAAAACTCGATGTTTTCAAAACCCCAAAGTTTTCAAAATTTAGTATACATAAAAACGTCCAGAAAATGCAAATGTTAAAAATTAATACCGTAAAACCTGTATTAGAAAGGTCCCTTTAATAGAAGGGCCACCCGAGAGAAGTTTGGAAAATTAGAAGGATCCCCGTAATAGAAGGGCCACCAGTAAAAAACCCCTTCAAAATAGTCATGAAATTAAAAAATTTCCGTACGTTTTCAATGAAAGATATTCAGGGAATTCTTCAATTTAATAGAAATCTGTTGAAAAACTACTTTTTTTGCTCAAAACCCTGATTAATTCTGGTGAAATTGATAGATTTTCATGACTTTTGAACGAAAATTCGTCGATTTTTTCGATGAAATGACCGGAAAAATAAAAAGGCCCCCTCTAATTGAAGGGCTTTTGTAATAGAAGGGCCCTCCAGAGGTAGCTTGAAACAGTAGAAGGGCCGGCCCTTCTAATACAGGTCTTACGGTAAGTTCGGACATTCGGTTTTAATTTTTGAAAATTAGTAGTTCAGAAAACCAGAATTTTCAACAAACTCGGAATTTCGGAACATCCAAATTTCAGAAATGTGGAAGTTTTGAAATTAGCAAAAAATATAAAAGCTAAAATTTCCAAATTTTAGAACAGTCCAGAACTTTCCGAGCTCGAAAAATTTCGATTTTTGATCTTCGGAAAAAAAAAACAAAATAAAATCCTAGAAATTCAATGAGAAACGGAAAAAAATCAGAATCATTTTCCGAATTTCAAAAATTCCAGAAATTTCCTGGTACTTCAACCTTAAGAAATTCGCGAGTCCAAAATTTTGCAATATTTTTTTTTTCAAATATCAGAATGGTGAAAAATTTTAATTCTGGAAGATTAGATTTTTCAAAATTCCTAGAACTTTCATGAAAAAAATACCTGTAAATTTAATATTTCCTAAACTTACAGTTCCTAAAAAAAGTTTTCCAGGAAACTTCTACGTGATCGACGTCCACAGTGTTCTGAACATAGATCTACAAAAATTGGGTGACGTTGAAGCTACAGTAGTCTTTCTGAGTACAATGACAAATACGATGCCAAACCTATCCTCAAAAATCAGTAATTGGAAACAGGATCAAAATGCTTCAATAGCAATCTACAATGGAATTCCTCAGGATGGAATTGAACTAAAAAACACTCAAATCTTCTCAAATCCAGTTCACAGCGACATTTTCGATTGGCTTTATTTCAAAAATGTGGAGACATTCTCGTTGAGTTCTGTGGCGTTTTACTTGGACTCTTTCAAAGGATGCACCTTTAAAATTGAGCCAGGGAAAGGTGATTTTATTGCTCATGCTTGATTTAAACACGATTATTAGCTAGGCTATGATTTTTTGAAAGTCTGGAAATTTTTTGAAAATGCCAAAAGTGTATACAATTAATGGAAAATTTTCTGAAAAATCAATTATTTTATCAGCAATTCTTGGTGGAACAACTACAACTGCATTAACTACCACTGGATTCTACATGAAGAGCTCGGGAGAACAACAAACGGTTACTCGAGTGAATATGATGAAAGATACCCATTCAAATGGTTACACTGGAGCTAATGTAAGTTTTAAAAAGAAATTCTGAAAGTTTGAAATTTTGAAGTTCTGAAATTCTGAAATTCTGAAATTCTGAAATCCCGATTTCAGATTCTTGGACATGTCCCAAATGGCGCCACTGTCACATTTTACGTTGAGGACAACGGCAAAAATTATTGCACTGACACCGTCCCAACTGACTTTTTCGCTCCATGGAGCACTCCAGTCGTTGGCGATGATATTGTGATAAATTCGATAAGTGCACAAATGGGACAGTACTTTGTACAGTATTTTGTAGTTCGTGAGTTTTTTAAAAGGAAAAAAGCCTTAATTTTTTAATTTCCAGAAGGAAAACAGCTGAACTTCACTACGGCAGCTCCAGGAGAGCCAACTGCAAATCCATCGTGTACAATTCCTACGGTAACAACTACAGTACACTTGGAAACTACTACAAAACTATCTGGAAGGGTTTTCACTGAATTATTGACATATATGATTGTTTTAATTCTTGGAAGATGTTTTTGAATTTCATTCCCATGTCATATAAAGTATATTTTTGAGTTTCCGAATTTTTGAATTTCTGAAGCAGAATAATTTGAGCATTTTCAAGCTGAATTTTATTAGAAAAATATATGACAATCATAGAAAAAATTTTTTTTAAATAACTGAGTTAGCTGTAGAATTTAGGAAACATCTGGTCTTGTTGGATCCACACTAGAGCTTTCTCTACTCCAACGAATATCTTTTTTGATGTTTGTGTCAATAATTAGAAGGATATATGGAAGAGATAGCGTAATCTGAAAAATTAAGAAATGCCTTTTTTCGGAAATTTTTCAAGATAAAATTTGAGAATTTTGAATTTTTAGAAAATTCTGAACTTCTGAATTTCTGGACATTCTAAATTTCTGATTTCCTAGAATGTCTGTAAACATGAAAAAATCTTCTTTCCGGAATTTCCATTTCTGAGATCTTCCTCCTCACCAAATCTGAAGCCGTTGTCAGCATATTCCAGAAGAACAGTAGGCAAGAATGGAATTCGTGGTCCCAAAATATTTGCCAGCGTATAAACCATAATTCCAGAGTACACAAATCCATTGGTCAATGCGATTTTTGTCAGTTTTCTCGAGATCCCTTGATTCGCAGATATCGTGCCTTGCAATTTTTTAAACGCTAATATAGCCACAGTAATCCCCAAAACAGTTAAAACAATAATGTAGCAACTTGCGCATAGAAAGTACTCGAAGGAAAACTCCGTATAAATATCGATGCTTGTAATCAGAAAAAGTACTCCATCAATAATTTCTAGTGTAAAAATAGGATTATTCAATTGCTGTAAAATGGAATAAACGACGAATAGGAGAAATATTGGAAGATAGTAGCGAAATCAAAATCTCTCATAATTTTGGAAAAATAGAATCGAAGAAATTCGATGGATAGATGGACGATGGTTTCGATGGATGAGGCAGCTGAATGTAAGTAAACATAAATATTTTTCTCCAATAACTTTACTACTGCCTAGACGCACTAAACGATATGATAATTCCTTGGAGATAATAATAAGTTTATTTTTCTTCTTACAATTAGTATGAAAAAGGGAACAAATGAAAGTGTGAAAAACGAGGGAAGAGTTTTAAAGTGTATCTCAAAAACGCCACAAAATTGAAACTTTGCAGAAAAAAACCAGGAAGATCATTCTTGTAAATCGTATAGAAGAAATAACCGTGGCCATGATCTAGCAAGTTCGAAAAAAATAGGTCATGACCTAAAATTCCAAAAATCTAGGTCATCACTTAAGAAATTAAAAAATCTAGATATTGAAAAAAATCTAGGTCAGAGCCTCGAAAATCCGAAAATCTAGTCTAGATGATCTAGAGATTTCGAAAAAAAAACGGTCATGCCCTAATTATCAAAAAATCTAGGTCATGGCCTAGAACTTTTAAAAAATTAGGTTATGACATAGAAAATCGAAAACTTAGGGCATGACCTGCACAATGCAAAAATCAAGGTCTGGGGTGAAAAAATATAGATGCATGCGAAAATTTTACAGACGGACTCTTTATCTTTCTTTGAAAATCTTTATTCAATCAATAACTTGAATCATTAATTATACATAATTTTCATAATCGTTAAAATATCAATCAATTAACAACATTGCTCAGGTTCTTCGGAACTGCCGACGTGCCATGAGAGTAAATTTGATTGCTCCGATTACACTTTAAAATTCGAATAAAAGCCATTCGATAATGTTTTATGATCAAAATTGTTGGAAATGGGTCGATAGCTGGATACAGTGCAATTGTGATCTCCATAAATGGATACTTTAGGTCAAAATCCAAATTTATCATGGGAAATGTGAAAACGAGAGTAGCTGGAAGATACATGAGCACAAATGGGATCAATGCTTGTATCAGAAGAGCATAAAATAATTGAGTTTGATGAGATTTTGTAGCTGGGGATTGATTTTCTAGAGAACCGAGTTTTCTGGAAATCCAAAGATAGCAATTAATGCCAAAGTAGAGGACACAGAATAATGAGAAACCCTGAAAAAATATTTTTTTTTCAAATTTTTGAATTTCCGAATTTCTATATTTATGTATTTTGTATTTTTCAAACATTTATCTTCCCGAAAATCAAAAAATCACCAAAATCAGGTACAGTATTCCTACACCAATAAACGAAAAAATGTCTGGATGAACTTTTCCATCTGGACCAGATCTCCAAAAATATAAGGCAACATAAACACATTGGTCGATTTCCAAATTAAATTTTTGTTTCAGATATAGTCTGAACATAAGGAGAATTTGATTAAAAAATACATAGAAGCCTGTAATAGAAGTGCATCCATACTGTCAAGTTCGAGCTCAATTATCTCGGCTCCTATAAGATAAATCAAAAATGTCTCAACTGATAAAATGTTTGTGATATTAGGATAAACGTTTATCAGTTGACAACTTTTATGGGCTCAAAGCTAGAAATCAAGGAGCCCTCCTATCACAGGTTTTACGGTAAGATAGTTTTCAAAAAAGGACAACAAACTAAAGTGAAAAAAGGAAACATATCATAGAAAAACTCAAAATTTTGAACTAAAATGACCATTTTTCAAAACAAAGAAACACTTTTGATATTCGATTTTAAAAAACGGAAGTTTTCAACAATCAAAAATTGCCGAAAAACAGAAAAATATAAAAAATTTCACCTCATGAAATCACTTGTCTCACTGGACTCTGACATAAAAACCCAACAAGTGATACCCCAAAAAACTCCACTAATCACCGGACAAAAATACAAGATTGCTAATTTTGCTCCAGATAAATACGATTTTTGGAAATCTCTGATGATTTATTTGATCAATTTCACTTTTTCTCAGCTCACTTATTCACTGCTCCATATCTATAGATGAAATGTACAGCGAATAGAGCCATAGAAGATCCAAAACATGTTAGGTAGATCACTGAAATTCCCAGATTTTTGTCTGAAACTTTTTTCTGAAATTTACACAAAAATATTTGAGCGGTCTGATGATTGAACCAGATTCCATCCATGTCTTGGAAAACGATGTTAACGGATTCGTGGTTTCTTTGGGTCTGAAAAATTTTCTGTTCAGTGGAGCGCACTTGCTGAAACTTTGAATTGAAAAAATTACCGGTGTCACAAAAAATGTCAAACTGGCGTAAATAAGTTCAAAAAAAGTTGTATAAAGCATCAACCACTTATAAGTACCTAATTTTAGCGGTGATTTCGTAAGAATTAAATATGCCAAAAATGAATTTGTGACTATAGAAACGGTGCCGAAAATTTGCTGAATATTGGAATAGATTTTTTCCATTTATTGAGATTTTTGAGAAAATGAAAAAAAAATTTTGGGTTTTATACCCAGACATATCAAAGGAAAATATTCCCATCAGGGATTTCTCCAACTAATAACATTAATTATGGGGGAAAATGATACGTCAATTCTGGTAATTGCAAGTTTTCTTCTGGTTAAGGACTACATTTTTTGAATCGAAATTTTGAGCTGAATCTATGGTTCTCATGATTCGGGGTCCAAATTGCATTTGTACTCTAAAGGATCCAAAATCTAGTGTATGACTCAGAAAATTCAAAAATATAGGTCATGACCTAGAAAATTTCAAAAATTAGGTCACGACCTAGAAAAGTCAAAAATCTATGTCAATGTTTTTGGAAATTAGACCATGACCTAGAACATAAAAAATCTAGGTCATGTCAAAAAGATACAAAAATTTAGGTCATGACCAAGAAAACCAAAAAATCTAGGTCATGGCCGCGTACTTTTGGAAATTAGTTCGTGACCTAGAAAACCTAAAAATCTATGTCATGACCTAGAAAATAAAGAAAATTAGGTCATGACCTATGTCGTGAAACATCACATGTTCCACGATTCTTTCTAATTATCAAACAGAGCGGGCAAAGCCCTTGTAACTTTCTTTCAGGTATAAATTCTCCCCCAACGTCCCCTACTGGTCCAAGCACTCCCCATTGCCCTCCAATCGACCTAACTATACTACGGTTCCGGATTTCAAACTGCCGCCCAAGGAATGATAACTGTTATCAGAGGAGCACGCTTGCCGACTACGTTGACTTCACTTGGTTCCGGCTCTGACTTTTTGCTTCGCTACGTTCCGATGACGTCGTTTGTTTCTTTTATAATCTTTATCTAACATGTTTTCCTCTTCTTTATTTTGTTTCCCCCTTAACTGCAACCCTCCTCATCGTCTGCGCGTTCCCTTTCGTTTGTTCTCTCACTCTCCTTTTATTCTGTATTTTGTCTTTTAGGCCCAATCTAGAATTGGTCATAATTTTGTTCTTTTGGTAGCCTTTCATCTAAATCTCGTTCCAAAATTCCTTATTTGTTTTCCCTTTTATACCCCTTAAACCTTTACTTAACCCCTAACTTTCCGTCTTGTAGCTCTCTTTATAACTTGCTCACTTTTCCCTTGAATTCTTAGTTTTCGCTTCATAACTTTTTTATCTCTCTTAGTTTCTAATTAACTCTTATTGCTTTACCTTCTCCTCTTGTTTGTCGTAGTCGTTCATTCATCAGTTAACGCCGGTTAACCCTTCGTGACGGTATCAGTGATATTGCCCACGAAAACCTAGAATTTCTAAATTGGGTAATGGTTTAGGAGTTACAAAAATGGCCTAAAATTTGAAAACTAGGTTGTTATTTGGAAGCTTTTTCACTGATTTTCAAAAAACAAATTTTTCAATTTCTGGTTCTCTCAACTTTTTTTCGTGTTGAAAAAAATGTCAAATGAAATTTTGTAATTTCATCTCCTAGAAATCAAAAATGTGCCCATATTTCTTTATTTTTCCTAGTTTTTCTGGCATATCTCCTGTAGAATATGATTTAATCTTTTTCAAATAACAGCGGTCTGGTGTTTTCGGAAATGAAATCGGTCATTCCATTTTTTCTCTGTTCCTCGCCGAAAAAATCTGATTATCTTCAGTTGGGTATTTTTCAATTCTTGTTTTCTTAGAAACGGAATGATTTCCGAGTTATTCCAAAAGTTCTGAGAAAATTTTTTTCATCGTTTTTGATTCTTTTTTTTTAATTTCAGTCTGAAAAAATTTCAGCCGAAATGATCGAGTTCCGATATTTTGCCGCTTCTGTGATGCTTGTGGTAAGTTTTTGCGCAATTTAAAAATCTTGAGAAAAAATAAAATAAAGTTTCAAAGTTGAGTTTCCAAAAAATTTTGTACGAAAATCGAGAAATGATTTTCAGAATGTTTTAGTTTTTCCTTGAACTTCTTATCGTTTCAGATTCTCAATTATTCTGCATTTTATTACATTTTTGAATTTCCGGGAGTTCATGAAATTAGAAAACTGAAAACTTCGATAGTCCCGAAATTTTTTTAGTTTTCAACATGTGCTGAAATTTCGAAAAATACCGAAATTGAAAAAAACGAAGAAACTTTTAAAGGTGGGGTGACAGAAGATTTTACGGGGGATTTTTGGGGCCAGAGTATGCATTCTACCGTGACGGTGTACAACGCTTAATGTCACTCTGCGTACAGCTGTCGTCCTCGCCTTTATGTATGCAATCGGGCGGCCGCTTTCTCTTCCCGTGTAGCTCAGTCGGTAGCGGCGTCGCACCCTCAATCATCGCCCCAACAAGTTCAACTCCTCGACGGGCATATTTAAACGAAATATCGAGAACATTATTTTTTCATGTCCCCCCACCTTAAATAAAAGTTTCAAAAACTTTCAATAGAAGGGCCTTGTAATTTAGACACAAAAATTCAACAAAAGTTAGCCTTGAGCAGAGATGTCCGGAATCTTTTTGAGAAACGGAATCCGGAATCCGGAATCCGGAAAAATAAAAATTTAACGGAATCCGGAGTGAAACAGTTTTTTTCCGGAATCCGGAATACGGAATCCGGAAAAAAATATTTTTCACGGAATCCGGAATCCGGACATCTCTGGTTTTGAGACATACATAATTTTCAGATGAGTCTTGCTGTAATCTGTCTCAACGGCTTGGTGATCCATCGAATGTATCGAGAATGCGAGGGTTTTCACAAGATCTGTATTAACAAGGCTATCGCTAACATTTTGATTGCTACAGCTTTTCTCGTCTGGGCCGCTCCATGCTCATTTTTGTAAGCTTTTACCTTCTGGTACCTTCATTTCAAAAAAAAGGCGGGTATATCCCAAATGAATTGTTTTCCAATTTGTATGAAGGGCGGGATATGGAAGAAAATCACTTAATTTTGTTCGTATAAAATTCTCGAGGAGATAAACTTCTGGGCCCAGGTTTTACTTCAAAAAGGTCTTTGTGAGCTCTTAATTTTTGACCCAAATGGGAATTTTTGATAGCCAAAGAACCTTAGGACAGAGCCAAAGTGTCTTATATGTATTTCCCTTTTTAAAAACTTCTAGAAACTATCTCTACCTTCCTGATTATTTCAATGTATTTTTTGGCCAAATCGTCGGTTGGGGACCGTATTTGATGTCTGGTCCGTTTACTCAATTGTGCTTAACTGTTAATCGAGCTGTGGCAGTATCCTGTCCCTATTGGTTCAACAAAAAACACAAGTTCCTCTGGACAAAAGTCTCATTGGGTGGATTATGGATGCTTTCAATAGTAATGTCACTTCCAGCAATGATGGGTACGTTTGTGACTGGAAAAGGGGTCTTTTGTGGTAGAGGGAGCATAAAAAAGAGAAACCATAGTCTATGGATCGTTGGATAAAAGCCTGCGGTGTTTTTGTACTGTATGACTAGAAATCCTATCCTACGTCGTCACCATTTTCAGACGGTTGCAGTTACATATTCTTCGTTGAGAATGTCTCCTGGAGCCCAACGGATACAATATGCTCGAGAAATCTCTCACAATATGTCACAAATCTTGTCCTCCTCATGGCTATCATTTCATTAAGTATCAATATGATTACCATTATTAAAATTGCGATTGGGTTGGGTGGTGGAGTGATGGATCAGAATCTCTCGAAGACTAGAAAACGAAAAAGAAGGAACATGTTCATTCAGTGTGTCATTCAGGATTGTACCCATACCACAGATTGTATGCTGAACACATATGTCTACACATTTTATTCGGCTCAATGGTTTCAGTTTTTGTGTGGTGCAGTTTCAGCATTGACTGTAGTTATGATGGATGGGTTCGTTTTTTCCATATACCGTAAAACCTGTATTAGAAGGGCCCCCCCTTCAAAATGTGTTCTTAAATCAGAAAATTCTCGTGCTTTTTCAGTGGAAAGTGTTCCGGGAACTCCACAATTTAATAGAATGTTTGTTGAAACTCTATTTTTCGATGAAAATCTTGCTAAATTTTGGTGAAATTGGTAGATTTTCATGGATTTTGAACGAAACTTCGTCGAATTTTCCGATGCGACATTTCGGAAAAACTGGCCGGAAAAATAGAAAGGCCCCCTCTAATTGAAAGGCCCTGTAATAGTAGGGCCCTCCGGTGGTACCTTGGAACAAAACCGGTCCTTTTAATACAGGTTTTACGGTACTTTTTTTCACATCTATTCACAAATAATGACAAAATGAATTCTAAAATTCTGAAATTCTGAAAATTAGAATGAAAAGTAAATGTTGCAGATTGCTCATGTCAATGTTCTACACTAGATCATCACCACAAACTCCAAGCTGTGATCCACCATCAAAATCAAATCGGTTTTCGCCATTCTATAGTCCAGCACCAAACGAAAAAATGACAAACATAATTAGGACAACTATTCTCTGAAATTTTCGATTTTAATAAATAGTTCAATGATTTTCAGAATTTTTGCAACATCATTATTTTTTTTTGATTTTTCTCAATTTCTTTTTTTGTCGAATTTACCAAGTTCAAAATGGATTCCAAAAATCCCTTGATTTTCCACTTTTTGATCTCCATCTCTGCCATTCGAATCGCATTACAAATCCTGTTCCGTCAACTCCAGAATTCAGGTATCCAAAACTTTTCCCCTTTCGTCTCCTTTTTCCTTTCTTTTCCCTCTCTTTCCCCCACCGAAAAATTCCGTTTCTCTACTCAGAATCGGGCATTTTCTGTTTCGCGGCATCGATAAAAATCTCCATTTTTTCAATTTTTCTGGAAAGATCCCAATCTCCGCACCTGTTCTATCCTTCGCTTTTTGTTCCATGGAAATGAGACAAAATTTTTCGATTTGGCCAGTTTGAAACATTTTCGGGCCTGACGACACTTTCTGTTCTTTTGGATTTTTTCATTTTCGCTCACAATTAGGCCTCAAATTTTTAATTACAAAAATTTCAAAATTTTCGAAATTCTAGTTTTGAATATCTCGAAATATCCAAAAGTTTGAAAAGTCAAACTTTCAAAATTTCAAAAACTCTAATTATCAACAATCATCGCTATTTTTGGAATCATTTGAAAGTTTTGATTGTTTTTTTTTAAACCAATTTTCCAGAAAATGCTTCCACAACACACGAAAAACTGGAAACAAGTGAAATCACAACTTCGATTACCATGGGCAATGATATTTCTGATTTTTTCGATTTTATGTACAATTATTTGGTTTTTTAGTGGAGAAAATCCACCAGAAAAACTATTCCATGATAAGATGATGTTGATGGAAACTGGAGAAGAAAATGCATTCATTCATTCAGCTTATTATTATGAAGATTCGAAATCGTAAGTTTTGTAATTTCAAAAAAAAATCTGTAGTCTAATTTTCATAGGATGAGTTTTCTAGTCCATCAACTTTTATGGTCTAGAAATGATCTGATGAGTTTTCTAACCCATTTAACCATGATGACCTAACTTCTTCAATTTTTCTAGGTTATCACGGTAAGATGGTATAAAAAAACACCAATTGAACGTGAGACCACTTCTAGGTCATAAACTTAGAGGAGGCCTAAAAAATTCGAAAATTCTAAGAAATAAAAAAAAACCGAAAGGATTTCAAAATTTTAAGGAATTTCTAGAACATTTCGATTTTCCGGAAATCAAGAGAAAAGTTTCTCTAAATTTCAAAAAATCTTAAAATTGCAGATTGGGCAAGAACGCAGTGGCAATCGTTGCCACAATGCACAAAGGAGCAGTGACCGATTTGAATGAATATGTGATGCGAGTCGTGGGAACAAATTCAACCAGAAGAGTTGTCACAGAAGCGAAACTGAGCACGTTAGTGAACTTTTCATGATGTTTTATAGTACCGGCCTGAAGTTCTTTAATTTGAATATTTTCATAATTGCATCAGGACGGATTTTTTTTGGACTTTTTTTGAGTTTTCTAAAATCCTTCCCTTTTTTAATCTTTTCCGAGCTTCAAATCTGGAAACCCACACCCACCGAGCGGGACCATTTTTTCAGTTAAACATGGCCAACTTCTGATGCCTAAAAAATATAGTAGATTTCGATAGACACTTTCTGAAACTTTCCGAGTATAATAAACAAAAATAGAGCTCTAATTTAGTAGTTGACAACTTTTTTGTAATTTTTTGGTTTTTGAGATGTGTGCCTTTAAAGAGGAGACGGCAACAGTGTACGAGAGAAAGTGGTACGGTATTTTTAAAGACGCATATCTTAAAAACTAAAAAAAAACTGCAATAAAGTTGTCAGCTCCAAACTAAAGCTCTAGTTTTGTTTAGTATACTCTGGAATTTTCTAACAAATCCGAAAATTCTAGACTACTTTTTTTATGACTCCGAATTTGGATATTTCCAACTGAAAATAGGCAAAATTCAATTTCCAGAGAGCAAGACCCTGAAGAGAGCTGTGAATACACGACAGTCCTTATCCAGGCCAATACAGTTGATTCAATGTCAAAATTGGAATTCGAGACTAGAACTGGGATGTTGGAGGTGAATTTGAACTCAATTTTTCAACAAAATTCTAATAAAAATAAATTCCAGCTGCTCTTCTCAAAACCAAAAATGGAAACTCCAAAGCCAGTTGTCTTCTGTATCGCGCCTCTATTCGCCGCTGAGCAATGGCAATCACTTCTCACCCAACTGCACGTCACCAAAAAGTTTGGAGCCCATTTGCACGTCTACATGATGACGATGCTCGAAAACTACTATCAAATGGTTCGAGAAATGGGCGAGCTGGGATTAATGAGCACTCAATCGTGGCATACTGTAAAGTTCTCGCAAGTCGCTCGCCCGTTTTTGGAGCCAAGTAGAAATATGGAGCTCCGAAATCCAGCGGCAGCTTTTACGGACTGCTTGCTACAGTATAAAGAAGCCGCGCAGTTTGTGGGATTCATGGAAATTGAGGATTTGCTATTCCCAGTAAATGCAAACTATTATTATGAGGAGTTTGAGAGAGAATACGAGGGAAGTATGCAGATTAGTGCATTGTATTATCAAATTGTCGAGGAACAATCTGTCAAGTGTGAGTTGCCTCTTTTTCTTATTGGAAATTGATAATTTTCTGAACGATTTTAATTTGGAAATGTAGAACTTCAGAAGAGCTTCAAAATGATATAAAATTTGTATGAGTTCTTTCCTTGAAAATCTGAAAAGCGCAACTTTTAAAAACAAGCCAGCATATCTTGTTGACGAGCGGAGTCATAACATTCTCAAAGCTCGCCTGCTCGTCAAACGGGTTTAGATAAACATTATTGAATAATATATCGATTTGTAGATATTTTTCTGATCTACATTTTGCTATTTGAAACAATCGGAAATATTGATTTTGAAGAGAGTTATGATTTCTTAATTGAGCGTACATCACCTGACAATCAGCCGCCTTTGATACGCTGGTTCGTAACTCGCTTCAAACTCCAATGAGCGATTCAAACTGGAAGCTGTAGGAATTGTAAGGAGCTACAAAGTATTATTGAATATCATCATTCTCAAAAATAAGGCTTCTAAGTAGAAGGCTTTGAACCTAGTTGACCGTCTCTCCTTCTTGCAGCAATAGTTTCCTTATGGCTCATTACTGTTTGGATTATAATTTATATAAACTAAAACTTGGCAACTACTACAATACATATATTAATTCGTAGCTATTTTTTACCATCTACATCTGTCAGTTAAAATCAATTAAAACTATTTATTTTGAAGAAAGTTATGCTTTGTTGATTGGCCGCACATCACCTGACAATCAGGCGCCTTTGGTACGCTAGCTTGTAACTTGGTTCAAACTCAATATTTTTGAGCGATTCGAAGTGAAAAATGTAGAACTTGAAAAGAGCTTCAACTATTTTAACATTTGAAGTCATTTTTTGAGCCCTACACCTTGAAATTTCCACCGCTCAGAAAAGTTGAACTTGAAGCGAGTTACAAGTCAGTGTACCAAAAGCGGCATTGTCAGATGCGCGTGATGCTAATTAGCAACGCATAACTCGCTTCAAAATCAATATTTACAATTGCTTTGAATTGTAAAATGTGGATCATTACTAGAGCTACAAGTTGTTATATAAATGGATAATGTTACAAAATGGCATTCCAGCAAGCAGGCGAGTCTAGCGAGCCTTGAGAAAGCTGAGGCACGTTCTGTCAACAGGATTCGATTCTTTCCTTGAAAAGAGCTTTTTCAAAAGTAGTTGCTTTCTAAACCATGCAAACTTCATATCAATTTGAAGCTCGTTTCAACTTAAAGGGGGGGGGACATGAAAAAAAATAATGTTCTCGAAATTCCGTTCAAAGATGCTCCTCGAGGAGTTGAACTTGTGAGGGCGATGATTGAGGGTGCGGCGCCGCTACCGACTGAGCCACGCAAAGAGAAAGCGCACGCCCGATTGCATACATAAAGGCGAGGACAACAGCTGTACGCAGAGTGACATTAAGCGTTGTACACCGTGACGATAGAATGCATACTCTAGCTATAAAAAAACTACGAAAAATCTCCTGTCCCCCACCTTTAACATTTCTGAATTGAAAACTTCTCGAAACTTTGAATTTCCAAGAAGTTAGAAGCCAATTAATTTTTTTATTTTCAGATGCCTCCCCGGACCAGCAAAGTCTCCGCGCCTTGCTAGCCAATGCTCAACCTGGGGAGACCTTGAGACGTGGTCGTTCTATTGTCCGTACCGAAAGATACAATTCCACATGGACCCACTATTCAACCCAAGCTGAACGTCAGCCTATTTATCTGTCTGAGCAAGGCGAGCAACCACACCATTTGAGCAAAAAGGCCATCACAACGAACGCCTTCTTGAGGTTCAAGAACTTGCAATATGTGGGTTACTGTGGTTTACTTAAAAAGTCGTTAGAGATCTTTTTAGGGAACCGAGGAACAATTGAATGCTACAGTAATCCCACAAAATCCAATGAGTCAGGACTCACTACTTTTGAATGAGGAGGCACTAATGGAGATCGAGGAAGGGATTAGAGAGTGAGTGGCCGAGTTTTGGTGGCCTAGAAATCCAAAATTTCAGGACCCTCCTACTTCCTACACTTCAAGAATTTATCAAAAAATTGCCAACTGAAGATTTTTATTCGACAAAACTTCGCGAGTGTCTAGATGAGCAGAAATCCGGAAAAGGGTATTGCGTGAATACGAAATCTTGTAAAGTGAGTTTTTCTGTGTGTCCGGATGCCCCAAAAAATGCAATATTTTAGCTTCCAAACAACGACAAAATTCCTTGCCGACACTCGGATGGCTTGTATCATTCTGGAAGAATCATGAAGCCGTACACGTGGCATTTTGTTACTGAATTTTATTTTACAAGGAACTTAGGTTGTTATGAATAGAGAAAAATGAATTTTTTCTCTAAGTTGTGTTTTTTTGCTGAAAGTTGCTTGGAAATCAGCTTTTTTGCTAGATCTGCAAACACCAACACGTCAGATTGCGTACACAGCCAAATTTTGAAATTTCCAGACATTTTTCAATAAAAAATATAATGAAATCGATAATTCCAGGGGAGTGTCGGAATCCTATAAAATGATTGGTTTTTGGCTGAAAATCAACTGAAAATCTGCAAAAAATCCTTTTTTGCAAGGTCCGCAAACATCATCACGTCGGATTGCGTACAGTCAAAATTTTTCAGAAAAAATTATTTTCAGACAATTCAATACATCTTTGCAATCATATTTCTAGTGTAAAAAATTGCGAGAAATTCAAATTTATTAGTGCCAAAGCTTAAAATTCATTAGTTCGTCTAAAAATGTCTTCAAACGACCACACTGACACTCGTGCTCTGAACTCCCTTGTCCTGCTCGAATGGTGTTTATAGAAGTCTGAAAAGAGAAATGAACTCCCTTGTCCTGCTCGAATGGTGTTTATAGAAGTCTGAAAAGAGAAATTCGCAAATCGTTTTAATCGATTTTAACCTGAAAATGCTTCAAAAATAGGAAGAAATTCGTTGACAAAATTCACAAAATGTGCAAATTTGTGCTGCGGTGCTTGCGGACTAGCTACAGTAACCCGGGGAAAAAAACATTTTTCAGCGAGTTTCAGCAATTTTGAAGCCGAAATTAATGAAAAATAGAAGGAAAAACAAAAAAATCTACTTTAAAAATCGCTAAAATTTTTTCTCTGATATTTTTTCCAAATAATTCAGATGTTTTTTTTTCAAATTTTCTCAATTTCCCTCCAATTTTCGATTCCCCTATATTCTAAAACCTACATTTCATCTCTTCACCATCGCTTGCCATTGTTTTTCAACCGTCCAAAAATCGAAAAAATTCAAGTGTGCAACATTGCGTTGTGGTGTTTACGGCATGGCTACAGTAACCCGGGAGAAATTTTTAAAAAATTGAGTTTTATGCAAAAAATTCAATTTCAAAAAAAAATGTTCAAATTTCATATTTAAAAATCAACACAAACAATGTTTTAGCCATAAACATGTTCCACCATATTGGCTACCCTGTGGACTAGTAACTTTTCCAATTCCGATTCTAGGCCAGTATCCGTGAAATTGTCACCATAAATCCATCCATTTCCGATACTATTGCTGACGCTGGTGACGCGGTAGTGTCTGAAAATTCGCTCTATTGATAAAACACTGGAAAATCGCAATAAAGCCAAAATGCGCTCCACTGCACTCACCTAAAATAGGCGACATCACGTGGCACATTTTTTACAATTATCTCGGGATACTGTAGATGGGAATGATGATAGGTCTGCACTGCAACCTTCTCCGGCCGATAAATACTTTTCGAAGATTCCCAAATTTTCGTTTTTGCGGTTTTTCGAAATTTCAAAGCTTCCAAATTAGCTATTGCTTCTAGAAGATTGACAAATTTTTCCGGGGATTTTTGAGATTTTTGAATGCGTTGTGCTTGGAAATTAAGCTCTCCGACGTTTTCGGGTTGAGAGCTGAGCAATCCGGAGAGGGTGAGGTCCGGGTGGAGCATCACGAATCGCTCGTCAATGTCGGCGTTAATGACCCATTTAGAATGGGAACGGCTTCGATGGAAGCAGTCCTGAAAGTTTGAGATTCTTAGATTCTTAGATTCTTAGATTCTTAGATTCTTAGATTCTTAGATTCTTAGATTCTTAGATTCTTAGATTCTTAGATTCTTAGATTCTTAGATTCTTAGATTCTTAGATTCTTAGATTCTTAGATTCTTAGATTCTTAGATTCTTAGATTCTTAGATTCTTAGATTCTTAGATTCTTAGATTCTTAGATTCTTAGATTCTTAGATTCTTAGATTCTTAGATTCTTAGATTCTTAGATTCTTAGATTCTTAGATTCTTAGATTCTTAGATTCTTAGATTCCTAGATTCTTAGATTCTTAGATTCTTAGATTCTTAGATTCTTAGATTCTTAGATTCTTAGATTCTTAGATTCTTAGATTCTTAGATTCTTAGATTCTTAGATTCTTAGATTCTTAGATTCTTAGATTCTTAGATTCTTAGATTCTTAGATTCTTAGATTCTTAGATTCTTAGATTCTTAGATTCTTAGATTCTTAGATTCTTAGATTCTTAGATTCTTAGATTCTTAGATTCTTAGATTCTTAGATTCTTAGATTCTTAGACTCTTAGATTCTTAGATTCTTAGATTCTTAGATTCTTAGATTCTTAGATTCCTAGATTCTTAGATTCTTAGATTCTTAGATTCTTAGAGTCCGAGATTCTTACATTCTCAGATTCTTAGATTCTTAGATTCTTAGAGTCTTAGATTCTTAGATTCTTAGATTCTTAGATTCTTAGAT